GAGTTTTAATTTAGTTTTTAAGGGCTTCTGCCGTTTTTTTTTTTTTTTTTTTTTTTTTCTTTTTCTTGACTACTCTTGTACATTTTCTCCTCTAACTTTCACATCTGTGTGTTGTATTTTATGTTGCACATAGATGCATTAATGCTCTGCTTCTGGAGAGGAGTCATTCACTTCTGCCAGGTGCCTGGCCACCATTGGGAAGGTGCGGGGCCGCACCAGATTCATTTGAAATGGTGGACTATCTAGCAGTTCTGCTTACAGAAGTCCACTGGTTGTAAAAAAAAATAACTAGCTAGTTGTTTAGAAACAGGACCTAATTAATCTAGAACAATCGCTTTCACCAGATTTCTGTTGCTTAGCAGCGACTGGGCTGCACCCAACTTTACCTTTGTTTCTTATTCTACTGCAGGAGCCAGACTTCCTTTCTCACGTTTGCATCCAAGCTCAACACCCTGCCCTCTCCACACACTTGTCCCAGTCCAAGAAGATATCTATGCTGGAAAGCATCTCATACTTATTTGGGGCCTTGCAGTGGGGAGCTCTCTGGAGAGGCCCCCCATCTCTCGCTTCTCACTTACACACATTCCCAGCTAACAGATTTCTTCTTTTCCTAACCTAGGCATTACTTTGAGCCACAGAAAGGGCCTGGCAGAGAATTTAACTGTTGCAATTTAGTGAAATGAATAAATAATTTCTCAGTATGGCCTGTGTAGCCATACTATGTAGTAGCAAAGGGAAAGGTGTTTTACAAAGGGACTGACCAGGCATTCACCCTGTCATCTGCTGCTTCCAGCCGGCAGCCTAGTCCAGAGCCTGCCACTTTCTTTCTTGCTGCATTCAGTGCAAGGCTGCAAAGAAGAAGCATCATGGCAATTCCCCTGCTGCTCTGCAGTGATGCATCCCCTACCCTCAAAGCTCTGACCTCAGGGAGATAGACCGTGAGGCAGATGAGGACTCAGGACTGCCTGTGATTGGCTACCTGCCCCTGAAGGAAGGACTCTCCACATACAAGTTCCCCCTCAGCATGAGCTCACATGCTACCTCTACTCACAGCCCTTCCAGCTGTCTGGCAGTTTGCAGGCTCCAAATATCTTTCTTGTGCTATTCTGTCGTAGAGTAAAACTCCCCAAACATGGTGGCATGAATAACACGCGTGCATGTGCCGTGTGCTTGTGCAAGATGATGCCATATAGTGGAGATGTTTGGAAAGCACTGCAGCGAACAGTCATTTGATTTGGGGAATAAAATTCATCTGAGGTCAATTTAGCAGAAAAGAGGCTTCACCGACAGATTCTGGAGGTGTCTCATAAAACCAAGAACAGGAGACAATGGAGCTCTGGAAAGAGGGGAAGTGGCAACTTCTCCCTCCCAGGCCCACTTCCTGACAGATCCGCTCTCTTCCATAGAAACCCCACAAGAAAATAATAAAAATAATAAATTACTTTTAAATTTTTTAAAAAGATCTGTGAGTTGTCCTAGCAAATAAAGGCACTTGCTGGGCAAGCCTAATGACCCGAGTTTGATCCCTGATTGTCCTCTGACCATGACACATGCACCATCCACCCCCACACAAATTCACAGAGCTGCCTCAGCCCCAAAGTTACAGAACTTCCGAGTGTCCCTGTCTCAAAAGCTTGAGAGGGAGGGAAGGAAGCAGAGAGGGGGAGAATATGCTTGGTCTTAAATGCAAGAAGATTCATCTGTTTTTGCATTCCAATAACTTCCTTTCAAGAGTATGAAAGGAAGCAAATAGGGTTAAGTCATCCTGGACAGGACAGGAAAAAACAAATGGCTCCCCAAATTTGCCATGAAAGTTGTAGAATCTGTAAGTCTGAGGTTGCCTACTGCCCTTGGGTGGACTTACTAGCACAAGGGCCATCTATGAAGCCTCTGTGTAGAGTGCCACTGCCCTGCCCAAGGGGCTCCCTGCCCAAGGGGCTCACCATGAGTGCTCCACAATGTGTGCAGCTTTTGAATCTCCAGTTATGCTAATGTCACGAGTAAAGAGCAGGAAGGGGACAACAGCAATTACCTCAGTGTCCCCACTGGAGCAGAGTGAAGATTGCTGTGGGGAGATGGTATCTCAGGACATCTGTCTCAGAGCACCCAGCTATTAGCACATTTCCATTGGGGGACCATTTCAGTTTCTGTGATTTGTCCTGGTTCTCTGGATCTCAATTCACTATGCGCACAGCCTGGCTTCCTGGAGTCAGGAAGATTTTTGGTCTTTACCTTGTCTGAGCCACTTAGTAGCTGTGGGACGCCAACCAAGTGGCCTACTGTCACTAGGACTCAGTTTCTTGTCTGCCAAATGGGAAAAGCATCATACTATCTTCTGGTATGGTTGTAAAGAGTCTTTAATGAGATAGTATATGTGGAGTAGTGTTCATGGAGGAAGAAGTGATACTGAACTGTTGGGGATGGAGCTCAGAAACAGAGAAGATGCCAAAGCCACAGGCCCTGTTTGATCCCCAGCACTGTGTGGGGTGGGGGGGGTGGCACTGTTTTATTTGTCAGTCAGCAAGTCACTAAATGATTATTCTTCCAAAGAACAAGGACAATGTGTCTGCACTGTGCTGTGCTGGTTAGGGGTAAATTCCCAGAGACAAGGCAGTTAGGAGGAAGAGGCCCACAAATCATGGCAGGACATTGAGTCCTTGTTCTGTGTCTTCACCTTGCTGCAAAATGCAACATGCAGACTTGACAAGCGCAGCACAAACAAGCCAACGGACAAAGAGATGCAGTAAGAGGGCAGAGAAAACACAAGGAAAATGGAAAGAAGCTGGATGCCTGCAGAAGAACCATGGGGAATGGGGCCTCGGGATGGCCTGACAAGCCTTTATTAACAGAAACTTCTGGAAGCCTTTCCCCCCCCACTCCCTACATCTTTTCACATTTTGCCAAAGATAATATTCACTTTGATGTTGGGAAGCCTTGGTTTGTTTTGTGTTTTCTCTCTCCATAATTGAACGGTAGGCCATCCTTTTGTATTGCAAATTGGCCTGACAAAAAGGAACATTAGAACTTGTGAAAAGGCAAACAAATTCTCCCAGCTCTGAAATTCTCCTACTGAAGAATGCTCTGGCGATGGGAACAACACTTTGAGAGTTCTTCTGTTCCCCATGGTTTGGGATGCAGGGCCACTGCTCTCTGGGGACATTGAGTCCCTTGATGGGCCCATCACCTGGCTGACACTCAGGTGACTTATCCTCCTGCAGGTCTGGAGACTGATGCGTGTGTGTCTTGCTTCCAAGTGCCATGAATTTGATGCAACCTGAGCCTGGATCCTTCAACTTCACAGAGTATTGTGGGTTTTGAGGGCCAGTATGCTGTGCTAGTGCACATGCCCATACCATGATTTCTACAGCTGGAACAGCAGCACCGTGGGAAAGCCCATCTGGGTCTCTTCCCCAGTCTCTGCTCTATCCATGGACCATCCTGGGCATGGACACCAAGGGACTGGGCCTCGTTAGAAGGCCCCGAGTGGACTTCCTTCTTAAGAGCCTTCTGTCTAGAAAGGAAAGAAAGTAACCAGAGGTACGAAGGGGCAGCATGGGATGCCAGGCTGTTTCAGGGATCCATAGCCTACCAAGAAACCACCAGTACCTTTCCTGATGAATGTGCATTCCCAGGCACAGCCTTGCCTTCTTTCAGGCCATTTGGAGGTGGGGGCAGGCTTCCAGTGAGCTGCTTAGAAGAGGTCCTGTGAAGAAGGGAAATCAGCTGAGTGCAGGCTGCTGACTCCTCCCCCCCACCCCAAGACTGCCCAGTCATTCATTAACTTACCTCAAACTGCACTGGGCTTTTGCCATGCTGCTGTGCTGGGGACCATGGTCAGGCTGATACAAGGTAACGTCCTGCTCAACCCTGAGAAAATGATGGGAACATCTTTCACTAACAATGAAGGAGGGGTTGCAACTTGCATTGCTTTGGTTTCAGCCCTTGGGCAGAAAAGAACTTAAGTCTGTGAGATCAGAGCAAACATAATCAAAGCACAGTAAACACAGGCAGGCCTTGAGAATAGCTGGAATTAGGAATCTGAGTGCCGGTGAGAACTGGTTCCCTCTTTGTTTTCTACTTACATGCTACTCTTTCCATAAAGACTAGCTCTGTCTGGTTTGGTGGCACACTCCTAGGACCCCAGCCCCCACCCCCACACTTGGAAGGTTGAGACAAGATGGTCATGAGTTCTAGGCTAGCCCAAGCTATGTTGTAATAGCTTTTTAAAGAAAAAATTAAAAAGAAAAAGAAAATTGAGAAAGACTAACTCTGCCCACACACAGGAAATCCAGGCAGCAGCTCCAAGACCTAAGAGTACTCATCTCTTTCTTCCTGCTCTGTTGGTTGGTGTACTTTGTGTGGATGCCTTTACTGAGCCAATCTTCTAGTAAATTATCTACCTCTAAAGAAACCATTCACTCAAGGGGAGGATAGAGGGACAACAGGGTTAAGAGGGTGGGAGGAACATCATATTCTTTCTTGGGTAGGGTTGTTAGATATTGGATATGTAGTCAATGCATGGGTCATGCTCAGACAGAGTTATGCACTCACAATTTTCTGATACTCAAATGTGCCGGGGTGGCCTGCATTTTTATTTACTCAATTTGGCAGGCCTCTTCCTGGGGCTATGATAAGGGAGATAGGTCTGGCTTCTGGATTGCTTGATAGCAGCATTGCTCAGTATTAGGAAAGTGGCTAAAATCTCCAGTTAGTTTATCCAACCCCTAGGACTAAATTACAGAACAACAGGGGATTTGCTAGAAAGCCACAACTTTATTCATCTGTGGGGACAGGATCCCAGACCACAGCCTTCATGCAAGGGATGTCAGGCTTCTTGCCTGTTACCTGAAATCCAAATCCTTTTCTTGCCTCTTCCAGAGCGAAGGTCAATATACGAGGAATAACCTTCACCCTACCCTAACATGTTCATCAGAATTAGCCTGTGCAGAATTCAGAGTAGCACAAACTCACAGAACAAGACAACCAAGTCCTAACCACTGTCCATCTTCCTAGCTGGGCCACCGTACTGGATTCCAGGACAGTCATTTTGGGTCACACAACTAATCGTTAGAGAGGATAGACTTTAGGATGGAAAAGGCAGCGGACGTTTCCCTGAAAGTAAAGCAAGGTGCTGTTAACAGGAACAGGTAGAAGGAGGCACAGAGAGGCAAGCTCCCCAAACGCTGCTCTAATGAGTCTGTGTCCCTGCTGTCCCTGTCCAATGAGGAATGACACTCACTTATCCTTACTCTATGCTGCTGCAGAGCACAGCGGGGAAGCCGACAGGCCAGAGGCTTGACAGTCATGAAGCTGACCTTGAGCATGGTGACTGGTTACTAACAATGCTCAAAACCTTTGGGAAAGCCTACACATTAATGAGTACACAGGACAAATCCTCAACAACATCACTCTGGCCAGGCATGGCGGCCCCCTTCCATTCCTAGTTCAGCTGGCTTCTGTCCAGCCTCCTTCTTTCTACCCCTTCCATGTGCAACTTCTAGTCCAGACCCCTGTCCCCAGCACATCTCTGGAGAATCCAGGTCCTTGGAATGCTGGCCTCGGCTTACCTTGGAAAGAGACGGTCGGCTTGGACGGTCTACTGAACAATGGACTCTGGCCCCAGAAGACCTCTTCCTAGCTGTACATGTCCCTGCCTCTTCCGTCCATCTGCCCAAAGAACCCCCAAGTGATAGCAAGGGAGACAGTAGGCTTAGTGCCAGCATCCACCAGGAGGCAGCTGACCTGAGGAAAAAAGTCACTTCTCTTTGCTCGTCCTATCCAGCTTGGCTCACCTGGCACGGTGGCCATGTCACCTCCACACAATCCCTTCCAAAGCCACCCCTCCTTTCCTGCTTGCCCAGTCTTTCCCCACCATTTGATGACGTTCTCTGCCACAGGCAGGCCTCACACCTGCTGAAGAGCCCCCACCCCCACTTCTGGCTGGGACCAGAGAGGGCTGGGTAACCCTGGGCCTTCCTGGTAACCCATAGATCAAGGACACTAAGTAGCAGCCTTGTTCTGCTTTGATGAACTGACGCTGCTTTTTCCAGTCACAAGGGCAGGTAGAGGCCAAATTTCCATCAGGAAGGAGCAGGCAGAGAGGAGGGGGAGAAGACAGAGAGACAGGAGGAAAAGGGGGAGAGATGGAGGGTAAAGGGTGGTTCCAAAGGCCAGGATGTCTTCTGCCATGTTTGGTTTGACTTGGTGGATGGTTTAACGGAGAGCAGATACAGCCAGGGTCTCGAAGCCAGATCAGGGGTGCCTCCGAAATCTAGGCAGAAAGGAGGGATGTCTCTTTTCAATGGGAACCAGATTCAAGATGGGAGTGGGGATTATACGGCAACAATGTAACTCCAGCAGTGTTTATGTGACCTCCCACAAAGGCCCTGAGACACTCACCCAGCTGGGTCAGTATCAGATCTGTGACTGGAGGTCCCCAAGGAGAGAACTCTGGCTGGGTGACTCAGAAGACAGGGATCCCCCCAGCCCACGAGGGATTTGCATGCATTTGCCTAAGTTATGCATCAGCACAGACTCACGCTCTATATTTAGTTGTAAGGAAATAACTTCATCCTTACTCAAACTGAAATGGGGGCTGTTTTAAGGTAGTCAGAGGTCTCCACTCAATTGTACAGAACCCAAAGCTGCAAGGAGGGACAGACAGTAATTTGAACAATTGAACAGCCCTAGGGCATCCCCGAAAGTTTCCTTTCCCTCTTCCACTGCCAAAGTTTCCCAGCTTGTTAAGTGAGGAAATGAAACCCCTCCGAACTTTACAAGGTGAGAAAGGGCCGGGGGAGTTCTCAGAAATTAATCCCTAAACCTGCGGTATTTTCTGTGAGAAGGTGGGGGAGGGGTACACGGGACAACTCAACCAAGAAAAGCAAGCAGAGGTTCTGTTGGCTAAAATTCAGCCTCTTCCTTTTCCTTCCTGGTCCCTTTACCTACAGCTTGCAAGCTGTCTGCAGGTGGGAGGTTCTGGGTGCAGGGCACTGTGTAAGGTCGCGGGTACTAATAGAGCCATTCATCACCATTCATCACTACATGCCTTAAAGTGCTTTTAACAAGGGCGGTGTGATCAGGTCAAAACAATAAGAAGGCGGAATCATGCAGGACGCTGTGGGAGCACAGAGAGGAAGCATCCTTGGCCCACAGAGTAGGTATGAGCGCTGAGTGAGTATTTCCAGAGAGGGAGAGAGAGAGAGAGAAAGAGAGAGAGAGAGAGAGAGAGAGAGAGAGAGCGCTTGAAGAATGAGTAAGAGTAGAGGGTGGGGGCGTAGGTGCCCTGAGTGTTCAAGCTGAGGGAAAGGCGTGAGCGAGCATGGAGGCTTGAAATAGCATGGCAGAACCAAGCCTGGCCACCCAGGCAGCGCCGGCTACCGAGGAGGACCACGTACGTCCACCCAAGCTTGACGTCATCCTGCATGCAGTTCTAAGCCAACAGAGGTTTGGTACTTTTGAGCATGGTGTCTCTGGATCTTGGCGTGGTGTTGGCAGGCTGGAGGCCAGTGAGAAAGAGGCAAGCACCCAGAAAAGTGAAGCATGCAAGCAAGGGCACGGGCAGGAGGGAAAAGGAAGAAGCAGCATCAGTAGGGCTTGGTGAGTGGGTGGAGACCAGAGAGATGGGAGAGTCCGGGCTACCTCTTGAGGTCCCTGCTGCAAACACTGTTTTGCTTTGTTTTTCTCTTCTGTGGAGAGACTGAACGCCAGGGAGAAGGAGGCTACCTGGAGAACAGAAGGGAAAGGCAGATTTTCTTTCTTTCTTTCTTTCTTTCTTTCTTTCTTTCTTTCTTTCTTTCTTTCTTTCAAAACAGCCAAATAGAGCTGTTAGGCGCCACTTAGACTGAGAAGCCTCCTGATTGGTGATTCGGCAGCTCCTTGCAGCTTTCAAACTCAGGCAGCATCCTGCAGCCTCTAGAGGACTTAATTCAATTCAACAAATGCTATTGAGCACCTACTCCTAACGGGGAGAGGGAAGGGGGAGTTCCAACAATTACTGACTACTTAAATTATATTAGCAGAGTGTTAAATGCATTTACACGTAATTTCATCTCCAGTCACAGCTACCTCAAGAGCCTGTCATTTACCTGCAGGGATCTAAGAGGTCAAGTGACTTGTCCTCTCAGTGTGAAGGGTAGAGCCAGGATGCAGCCAGGAGTTCGAAGCTTCCCTTTCTCTAAGACTAGTCATTCCACAACAAATTCAGACGGTTGCAAGTGACTGCTGTATAAACTATTTTAAGCAAAACGGGGAATGCATTGGCTTACTTAACTAGAAAGCACAGTCAGCTGACTCCAGGCTTGCCCAGAGCCAGGTACTCCTACCATGCTGTCAGTTCTCACACTTGCTCATGAGTATAAACCCTTCAGCTTCCTTAATGTTCATCTCGGCTTATAAGGCAGCACAGCTTGACAGCTTTGGAATCCCACAGCCTGAGTTCAAATCTTGGCTCCAGCAACCTACATAGGTGGGTGGTGTTAAACCCATTGCTTAACTCTTGATTCTCCTGCTTGATTTTCTTCATCCCTTGGTTGGAGCCAGCACTTCTCTTGGGATTCAATCCTGGGGCCCAGGGGTCATTTCTCACCTTGTAAAGTGGGGAGAAATCTCGAATTCTCACCCTGCAACAATTCAGGGTTTCCTGCATGCTAGGCAACCCCCCTCCCCCACTGTGTCCCTTTCTGTGAGGTGGCATCCATAATTAGTTCACCTCAGAGGGCCCTGTGGGGAGTCAAGATTCTCCACACCAAGTGTTTGTAATATGGCCTGGCCTGAAGTCAGCACCCAATATGTCAACTATGTCAACTATGATTCTTTCTAACCCTGAACTGTTTAGGGTGGGTTTATTCCCTTCCATTAGGCGGCCCTTCCTCCATGTAGAGAGAGATGGACAGAACTCCCTGGCTACAACATCCTTATAGCTTCCAGACTCAGAAGAAAGACTTCTCTCTGTGTACACAAGTGTAGCAAATCTCCACGCGGACTAGTCAGTTCTGGGTAAGTAAGTGCTTGTCCCTGCAACCCTCTCTGAAGTCAGAGGATGGAGAATTCCCACTAACCAGCCTCCCGCAGCACCACAATTCACAGCTCCATTGGGTCATAGCTAAGGAAGAGAATTCCTTATAGATGAGCTATGCTGGTTGTGAAGGATGGCACAGGCCTGTAATCCCAGCTACTTAGGGGCTGAGGCACGGGAATCCAGAATTCTTGGAAAGCCTAGGATATATAGCAAAGCTCTGTCTCAAAGTGGGGTTGGGTTCAGGATGCTGTGAAGATGAAATAACACTTGCTCACCACTCTGTGTTAGGGAGTGTTATAAACATGTAACAGGAAGTGAGGGAGGCGGGGCTTCCTGTCTGTGAAAATGTTAATTAAACAAGAGAAGATGAGGACAGGTCACATTTGACTAGAAGCTACAGTCAGTGGGACATATACCTAAGGTAAGGAGCACTTAGAGCCTGAGGGCAGTTTGTGAAGTTTCAAAGGAAAGACTCTGGAAGGGCTCTTGGAGTGATGTTTGGAATTAAGACTCGGTGGTTCAGCTGGGGCTGAAAAATCAGCCAAACCAAAATTCAACGATGTAAAAAGTTGAGTGCTAGGTGTCTGGACCTGCTTATGATCCTGTGGGTTCCAAAGAGCCTTGGCAGCAAGCATATCAAAGCACACATGGCTTGTCCTGTAGGCTCAGGTCTGCTCCAACCATAGTATTGGTATCTCCATAGTATGCCTGAGTCTCCTCTACAACTGGACTTCGTCTCCACTGACAGCCTCTCCTAGGCTCTCTGCTGGGACTCCAGCCCTGCCACATAATGCCAAGCCTGGGCTGCTCTCCATGACCCCTCATGCCTGCAAAACTAGTATCTCCTGGGTTACTCTTAAACTTTACCAAGTTCAACTGCCAGTATGAGATGAAGCCTGGGTCCCTTCTGGACCACAGCTTCTGTGTGCTAACCCTGGGGAAATATTCCCAGATCTCATCTCAGTGATGCTGGCTTCTTCTTAACCATCCCCACCTGACAGCATCAATTGTCATAGCAAAGCAAAGGTTTCACTTTGATTTAGTTGTGACTATGTGACGGTTTTTCCTTGGTATAATTAGAAAGCATGTATCTTATGTTTGGCCTAACAGGAGCCATCATCCAGAGGCTTTTGAACTTTGAGAGAGACTTTGGGTGTTTTAAAGAGATAGAACTTTTAATGCCTGAATTTTTAAAGACTATGAGACTTAGCTGGGCATTGGTGGTGCACGCCTTTAATCCCAGCACTCGGGAGGCAGAGGCAGGCAGATCTCTGTGAGTTCGAGGCCAGCCTGGTCTCCGGAGTGAGTGCCAGGATAGGCTCCAAAGCTACACAGAGAAACCCTGTCTCAAAAAACAAAAAACAAAAACAAACAAACAAACAAAAAAGTTAGAGGTCGTCCTGGACAACTTAGCAAAATTTCCACTCAAAATAAAATTAACAGGACTGGAGAGACAGCTTGGCGACTGTTCTTCCAGAGGACCTAAGTTCGGTTTCTAGCCCCTCACAGTTGTCTACAACCAACTGTAACTCAAGTTCCAGGGGTTCCAGCATCCTCTGTTCTCCTCAGATACCAGGCATGCACGTAGCACACAGACATACTTGTAAGCAAAACACCAATACACATATAAGAAAAAATAATAACTAAGATACTTTAAAAATTGACCTGGGCCTGGTGGCAGACGCATTTAATAAACCCAGCACTCAGGAGGCAGAGGCAGGCAGATGTTTGTGAGTTCAAGACCAGCCTGGTCTACAAAGTGAGTTCCAGGAAAGCCAGGGGTACACAATGAAATCTTGTCTTTAAAAAACTTACAATTAAAAAAAGGGAGCTCTGGACAGCTATAGCAATGGCTCCAGGGGTAAAGTGCTTGGTTTGTAAACAGGTTTGGATATCCAACATCACCATAGAAGCTGGGCATTGCAGTGCGCATTTGCAGTTGCCTTGCTAGGAGACAGAGGCAGGCAGAGGTTGGGGGTAGAGCTGGTTTCCAGGCCAGCCACTCTAGGTGAAATAGGGATCTCCGGGCTTAGTGGGAGACCCTGTCTCAAAGAAGTAAGGTAAGTAAGTGTTGGGAACATGAAGGTCCATGCACCCACACATCTCCAGGAAACCAGGAATGTGAAGCACACAGGATTGTCCTCACAAAAGAATGGATGTATAAATTGCTCTTTCACCAAGACAGCTGGGAATTAGAAGTGACTAATAGCCTGGCGATGTTATCTGTTGGGCCAGGCCATACCAAGCTGTCACAACCAAGACCAGTGGTGGCTAGTCATCTAAATGACCCTCACACTGCCTGTAGCTAGGGACTCCCCCAAGCTCCCAAAAACAGGAACAGAGATATCTAATTGTCTAAATGACACTTACATAGTCTGTATAGTCAGGGGCTTTCCCAAGCTTCCACACCCAAATGACCTCTACACTGTTTGTATGACTGAGACCTGACCGGACCCTTCCTTAAGCCTGTAAGCTTGTACAGGTAATCTATCTCTAGAACCCATCTTCGTGGAAGAAATGACTTGTATCCTGAGTTGAGTTTTGATGTAATTATGTGTTCCTCTACACTGGAGTGGTATTAATTACACCAGGAAACTTTTTTTTTTTTTACAAATTATACTGGGTTTAAATATGCCAGCAAAACCCACTTGGCATCAGACTCCCTGAAGTTTGATTGTCAATCAGAACTGAGTTTCATTCTCGCCTCTTCATGCTTTGTTTCTCTGCCTGCCTTGACACCTGCAGAGACCCTCTAGGATACATGATTGAGGAAGATATTCTGATGTCAGCTTCTGTCTTCCACATGTGTCTGCATGGGCAAGTACACACACACACACACACACACACACACACACACACACACTCACACACACACACACTCAGTCAAATGCTGACGTCTAGTGAAGTCACTCATTAAGATGTGAATGGATCATTAGGTCTATGATTAAATCAATGGATTAATCCTCTTATAGATTAATAATTTGATGGTATTATTAGGATGTGGTGGGAAAATTCCGAGATGGAGGAAGTAGGTCATTGGTGGCATGTTTTAGGGACTATATATTGTCCTGGGTCCTTTCCTTCCCCCACACCCCATTCCCACCTCATCCTTTCTTTCTATGATTCTTGGCCACCATGAACGGAGAAACTGTTCTGTCATTCCATTTCCCATTTCTACCAGTTACATATACCTCACACAACCACAGCCCATTGGCTGAACACTCTGAAACCATGGGCAGAAATAGTCTTTCATCCTTTTAAGTGATTCATTTTGGGTATTTATCACGTCTCGGATGTTGAGGCACGGGGTAGGTTCACATGGGTCTGTCAAAAGAAGACTCAGAGACACTTTAAGAATGAATTTAGCCTTTTTGTGGCTGCATGGCTCCCCAGTCTCCAGGACTGAAGCATTTTCTCTATACCTAGGGCATTTTTATTTTTTCTCAATATTTATACTTTAGCCAGATGATTACCATATACTCAGAACAACTTGAATGAGGCTTCCAAAAATGTAATGCCAAGTGCAAAGTCTCGATGCATCAGGTACCACAGTTTTCTGGGTTTCCTGAACCAAGTTTTGCATAGGTGTTTGTATCCTTGGGAAACTCTTAAACAATGTTCACGTAGGGGGACAAAAGATATCCAGTCAACAAAGGATGTGTTAGGCTAGGTGCTAGCTCTCCTGAGCTAGACCAAGTGTGGCCCAGCGGGGGTGGGGGGTGGGGGAGATGAGTGGTGGTGGGAATGGGAGTGGGGAGTGGGGAGGATGAGTGGTGATAGGAATGGGAGTAGGGGTGGGGGTGGGGTGTTAGGGCTAGTTGCTATCACTCTTGTGCTACAATGTAGCAGGATACCGCTACAATCATAGCATCAAAAAGCTTACTAATCCATAAGAGTGTTGTCTTAGTCAGTGCTCTATTGCTGACCAATAGCCAATTCTTACAAACCAGGGTAACTTTTATAAAGGAGAACATTTAATTGGGGTTGGCTTACAGTTTCGGAGGTTTAGTTCATTTTCATCATGGTGAGCAGCATGGTGGCATGCAGACAGACACGGTGCAGGAGAAGTAGCTGAGAGTTCTACATCTGGATCTGAAGGCAACAGGAAGAGATTTTGGGGCCTGGTATGCGCCTTTTGAAACCTCAAAGCCCACCCCTAGTGACATACTTCCTCCAACAAGGCCACACCTCCTACTCCTTTTCAAATAGTGCCAGTCCCTCATTCACATGTAAGAGCCTATGGGGGCCGTTCTTATTCTAACCACCACAATTGGTATCGGGAACTGAAGCCATTAATGTTAACTTTACCTGATGATGTAGTTCAGGAGTCTTTGGACCTGGTTCTCAGAACATTGGACAATTTAAAGAACCAAATGAGAAAAACCTTGAATTCTGTACACACAGTCAAGACTGGGCTCAAGTGGTTTCAGATGCTAATGAGGACTCTGTTGGTTTGGGTCTAGAGACCATTTGTGTAGCACTGTAGCAAAGAGCTTGTCCACATTTAGTCTACTGAGACTTTGGGAGAAGCTGAGTTTAAAGGTGACAGACTAATCTGACAAAGCAGATTTCAAGACTATGGAATAGATATTTGTGGTGGTTTGAATTAAAATGGTCTTCATTGGCCCACAAGAGTGGCACCATTCGGAGGTGTGGCCTTGTTAGAGGAAATGTGCCACTAGGGGTGGTCTTTGAGGTCTCAGACACTCAGGCCTGGCCAGTGTGTCACTATTCCTGCTGCTAAGGATCCAGATGTCAAACTCTCAGCTCCTTCTCCAGCCCCATGTCTGCCTGAATGCCACCAATTCCCCACCATGATGATAATGGAGTGAACCTCTAAACTGTAAGCCAGCCCCAATTGAATGTTTTCCTTTATAAGAGTTGCCGTGGTCATGGTGTCTCTTCACAGCAACAGAAACCCTAACTAAGATAGTATTACTATTTTTAGCCAGGCTTATTATAAGAATTGGGAACAAAA